AGTTTGTGGGACGTCACCGAGCCGAACGTGTGCAGATCGCGGAGGTGCCGTACTTTCGGTACTAGGATCGATCGATCGTGAAGAAGTACGACTACATCAACCGCGTTGTCATAATGCTTCCGCTTATGGGCTACGAGGGTACGTGGACAACACTCTTCCCCTCTCGTTGCTATGCATCACCATTATCTTGCGTATGCGTTGTGTTTTTTTTTTGAAATTACTATGTTACCCAACACCACTACCATCTTAGTGGCTACCGATTGTCATCACCCTGACCCATTGTGTTATTGAACAACGTTGGACCAACATTAGTGATGCTCGGCCACACATGCGACCGGAACAAGGGTATCACGACTGAAGGGCATGGCCGCTAGGTTTGTTGTGGCTAGGTGCCCGTGAAACAGGGGTAGATTTTGGATAAATCTAAATTAACTGATATTTGTATTTGAGAAAATGCATATTCGTATTTGAAACATCCACATCTAAAATAAAATGGAATGGAAGATATCCAGATATATTTGAAAAATACAAACACAAACATGGTACGGAACTTTAACACAAATGTAAACATGGAAGTGGATATATCTATATCCTGATAATATCTCATGAGCTAATTTAAGCAATTCTAGCCCAATATGCCAATATCCAACATAAAAGCTTAACAAGTTATCAATTTTACTTTATTATCTGATTAAACTTAGGAATAATTATGCATTATAGTAGAATTTATTCATAAACCTGTTCATCATTGACTTGTTGTATGTTGCAACTTGATTATTTTGTGTCACATAGCTATTGACTTATTTTCTTTAAATAATATATCATTGTTATTCGTATCTGTTTCGAATCAAGTAAACATCCGATATATATTTGTATATTGGAGCAACATTCGATCCGCATATGTATTTGTATTCGCATTTGTTTAGAAAATCCTCTATAACACTAAGCTCCCTAGTTTTAAAGAGCCGGCATTCAATTAAGGTTTTCAATTAGAATTGGATCACCTGATTTTTGACTGGATCAACAGTTTCTCAAAGCTCTCTCATTCAAATTTTTTATATTATACAGTATGCTTCCTAATTTTTATGGCCTCACAATTAATTGAAGCATTCAATTTAGAATTGGGTTTCGCTGTTCACTGGCGTTAGAGAAGCAAACTTGGCCGTCTGCTGGCTCCCTCTCCTCTCCTCTGTTCCAGATCATGCACGCGTGGGAGAAAAACAGTCTGGAACTTCATTGGTCACCAACTACCGCGTTGTTTTTTTAGAACGAAGGCTCAAGAAGAGCCCGACTTTGAATTAACAAAGCCATCAACCGGCCAGGAATACAAGAAACAAGAACACCACACCACATCGGCCAAACGATACAAGGGGCCTGCAAGAACAGCTTACAACACTACTCCAACAACCAGCAAACAGAAGATGAACTATGAAGAACTGCTAGTTGAGGATAAGCCCCACTACAACAAGGCACCAATATGGCTACAAGTGCAGCCTCGAGGAGCACCGGCAAGGAATCGAATACAGGGAGGAAACCAGCAGATGAGATGATCCAAACACTTTCCCTCTCTAACATCGAAAGGGATCCCTTCCCCTCGCCTAGGCTCGAAGGCGCCGCACCGTCGAATGAAGAGACGCTCACCCGAGAGCTTGAACAAAGGTTGGTCTCGAGACTGGACCCGCCACGGAGCACGACCACAGGTCGGAGCACACACAACAGCAACACCGCTGACACCGAAGGCGGCCAATCGTAGAGGGTAAGCCGCCGGAAGAGTTGCCGGAGTGAAGGAGCTACCGAGCCACAGGGACTCGATGGACACCAGCCGCCCACCTACCAGCTGCTGCACGCAACCCCAAAGCGCCAATCTTCCCTAGGCGGCGCCTCGAAGAAGGGCACGACGCACCTGGCGCCGCCGCCTCCCATCCAACAGGAATTCGAGCTTTCGCCCGGGAGCCTTGGCCGGGGTGTGGAGAGGAGCCCACAACGGCGACTCCAGGGAGTAGAACAACGCCAAAAGGCGCCGCCGCCGCCGTGCTGGAGAAGACCAAACAGGGGTTTCCCCCGGGCTCGACCCACACCACCAGTTTGGGGTGCACCCCGCCGGCACCGGATCCAGCGGCCAGAGGCCCCAAATTGACCAAGCCAACGGAGGAAGAGAGCAGAGAGGGGAGAGGAGAGCCGGACCTTCAGATCTGGAGCGGAGGGAGGATGACCTCGCCGCCCCACGGCCGCAATCCGCCTGCTCCTCGCCGCCCAAGCAGCCGAGGAAGCCGGCCCGCACCACCCGCGCACGCCGCCAGCCGGAGACGGCGCCGCCTCGCCGCCAAGGCCGCCACCCTGGATCCGGAGTCCTTCTCGAGAGAGAAGCGACGGAGACCTCGCCGCCACCTTCATCGGCTGCCGCACAGGCGCTGCCCGGTGACCGCCTCGGGTGACGGCAAGAGAGGGAGGGAGGATGGAGAGGGGCGGCGCCGGGAAACCCTAGGCGCCCTCGAGCCGCCCTGGGGAGGGCAGCGCCAACTACCGCGTTGTTGCCGCGCCGACCGAGAAGGTCATCTTCATGGAGTTCTCGTCGATGTCGACGATCGCCGAGTACGTGACCGCTGTCGGTGCAGCGAGGCAAAGAGCGAGAAACCTGCGCCGACGTACTGCATGACATCAATGGCGAGGTCAAAGTAGGGATTAGAGATCACCGTGTAGATGATCGTACTGGCGTGGCGGAGTCTGAGAGCTAGAAAGCTCCCCTGAGGTACTGCACCACATCGATGTAAGGTAGGGGATTAGAGATCCCGCTAATCATGTACTAGAAAAATAGATCCCTAGAAGTTTAGAAGTCCCACGTGCATGATTTTGTATCAGAAACGGTTTATTCTTTCGGTTGTTGTTTTATAGTAGGTATATGTATATAGATTATTTTAAATCTCGACCGTTAATCTTTTATTTATGATTAACATAAATTAATGGATATAAAGGCGTGACCTATGGAGAACTATGAAAGGCACCGTTCTTCAATATTATTAGGTAAAGATAAAGATTATGCATTGCAGCACTCCCTCCATTCCTAAATATAGGTCTTTTTAGATATTTCAATAAAAACTATGTATGAATGTATATAGACATATTTTTGAGTGTGTATTAACTCATTTTGCTCCGTATATCGTCCGTATTTGGAATCTCTAAAAATAATTATATTTAGAAACGGAGGGAGTAGTATTTATTATTATAAACATGTCTACCATTTGACTTATTGTATATTGCAAGCTGATTATTTTGTGTCACAAAGCTATTGACTTACTTTATTTAAAAAATATGTCACTATTATTAAAAGGCTCTTTGATGAAAGGGATATCTCTATTGCTTATGTAAGTAGGAATCAGAACGTTGTTAGCCACACACTTGCTGCTTTCGGACGATCGGAGGGCTGAACTACAGTTTGGTTGCGCTCTGGACCTGCAGACGTTCCTCTGCTATGTAGGAACAAATATTCCAACAGTTGAGCAATGAAATCCTATTAACTCCGCAAAAAAAAGTATGTCACTATTATTATATCCGGTTCGAGTTGAGTAAACAAAAAAAAGTATGTCACTATTATTTTCCCTATATATATATATATATATATATATATATATATATATATATTCGTACTGGAGTAGCATCCGATCTGCATATGTATTCGTATTCGTATATGTTTAGAAAAAAAATGAAACATGAAGTGGTGAGAGCAAGAGCAACTAATTAACGAGCGCTCCTTTGGGAGCCTCGCAATGATCAGCGCCACTTGAAAAAGAAATTGCATGAAAAAATACGTTTTTTCTTTCACGAGAGTCATGGTTTTGCTTCCGTGAAAGACACAGTTGTGCTTTCACGAGAGTCATGGCCGTGCCTTTCGAAAAAAAAATGTGTTTTCTTTTTTTCTTCTTTTGTGAGAGGCATGGTTTTGCTTCCGTCAGAGGCACGCTTGTACTTTCGCGAGAGTCACAGCCGTGCCTTTCGGAAACAAAAAAAATCACGTTTTCTGTTTTTTTCTCCTGCGAGAGGCACGATTTTGCTTTCGTGAGAGGCACTGTTGTGCTTTCACGAGAGTCACGACTGTGCCTTTCGGAAAAGGAAAAAACACATTTTCTGTTTTTTTTTTATTTCCGCAAGAGGCACGATTTTGCTTCCGCGAGAGGCACGGTTGTGCTTTTGCGAGAGTCACGACCGTGCCTCTCAAAAACGAAAAAAACACGTTTTCTGTTTTTTCTTTCCTTCCACGAGAGGCACGGTTGTACTTTCGCGAGAGTCACGGCCGTGCCTCTCGGAAACGAAAAAACGCATTTTTTTTCCTTCCGCGAGAGACACGGTCATGCGTTCGCGGGAGGTACGGGCGCGCCTCTTCCGGAAAAGAGGAAAACTTGTGCTTCCGGGACGGTTTTTTCGTCTGGTTTTTTCGTGAAAAAAAGTTTATCAAAACCTATCAACATGGCATCTAGTTTTGAAAATTTCGACACAAGAAATCAAATAGTGAAAACATTTCAAGATTTGAACGCACGATTTAAGAAATAAAATATTTTGAATAAATGAATGTACGAAAATAAAAATAAAAACTCTTATGTTGCGACAAGTGGCGCACATGCAGCGCGTTACTTTTCGCAACCTGAGGAGGTGGGAGTGATTTTTTTAAGGGATTTTTAGTGATTTCGGGTGAGAGCACTATCCAAGGCCGTTTCTGGGCTATTGTACTTTCGTGAGGAATGATTGAGCCCAACATATAGAACCGTGAGGTGCTCTTTACGGGCACGAAACGGCAAGCCCGGCCCACCCAGGAGTCCTGTGTCCTCTCCGTCTCCGTCTACAGCACTTCTCCGTCCGTCTCCTTTTCCGCGAGCCGAGACGAGGCAGCCCGCACGCCACCTCCCCGCCGTGTTCCCCCGGAAAAAAAGAAAACCTCCTCGCCGGCCCGACCTCTCCGTGCCCCTCGATTCCCCACCTCCGCTCGCCGGCCGTTCCCCCGGCCGTCCATGGCGGCGGCGGCCGTCGGCATCAGCAGGACCAGCGCGGCGGGGGCGGGAAGCACCAACAGCAGCGAGTTCCGCTTCTTCCTGTCCTGCGACATCAGCCTCCCCCTCACCTTCCGCGTCCTCCAGGCCCCCATCCCGCCCCCCGCTCAAGGCGCCCACTCTCGCTCCCTCCCCTCCCCCTCATCCCCAAAATCTCTCTTGTAGTGTTCACTTCTGATGTTCCTTGTCTACTTCCTCGCAGATGGTCTCGACAAGAAGGTCTCGGAGCTCTTCGTCGAGTGCAAGCTCTACATCGACGGCATCCAGTTCGGCCTTCCCGTCAACACAAGGTACTCTCGCTCTGTCCCGTCTCTCCATACGATCTGTATCTACTAGACTAGATGGTCTGCCGAAACATGTGGATGAATAATCTTTGTTGAATGTGAAGTTGCAATCTAAGATGAATTCCCCTGGAATAAATTCGGTAAACTGAATTAGGAGGCCCATTCACAAAACACAAACGAGAAATCAGTGTTTTAGTCTAGATAGCACGGCTAAAGACAGCCATGTTGAAAGATGCAAGCTCATTAAGCAAAACTTGGACAACTCCATGTGTCAGTAATGGTAAGTGTTGATTCAGAACATTACAATTTGGAAGGAAAAGAAGCTTCAAAATCAATCTTGGAAGCTAAAAAGGGATTTAAAAGAGTTAACTAGGAAGTGACAAAACACAAAAGCATTGGAGCGATTGCACACTAAAGCGTGCTAAAAGTACATCTAGAGGTCGCTCAGTAGAGAATTTCACTACACACCATAACATTTTTATTAACTTGTGATTTCTCCTTCCTAGATGTAAACATAAAAAAACATAGGTAATTATGTGAGGATGTATAAATGAATACATTTCAGGCAATAAAAAGTGTTTCAACAATGGTGAGCAGTAAGCATATCTAGGAAAAACAATTTAGAAGGATTTGGAATGGCATACGTTTCATACAATATTGAAGAGTACAGCAGCCAGCAGGTTAGGTTACTGTTAGACTGTAGCAATCCAGAAACTACAGATCTAATATGATATCGTCATTATTCTGTTACTTACCAACCAAAAGTATGCAGTTACCTCTTATTCACATCGCCACCATTAGTAACTTCTTGTAACCTTGGTGCCAGGCTCGAATCTTCAGGACCGCCATACTGCTGGAACGAACTCATCACGCTGTGCACCAAATACAGGGACCTAACCTCCCTCGCGCAGCTCGCATTCACGGTATACCGTCTATATCTATCACGGACTTAGATGATTTTGAATTATAACAAAACGAAACTATCTTGACAGGTTGATATAACTCGTTAGTATGTTGTTTGACTTTTGAACTGTGCTTTTGTATTGTTGATTGATGTAGGTTTGGGACGTGTCATCTGGTGAGGGCAAAAGTGTTGTTGGTGGAGCCACCATATTTCTGTTCAACAGCAAGAAACAGCTTAAAACAGGGAAGCAGAAGCTGCAGCTATGGCCCCAAAAGGAGGCAGATGGAAGAGTACCTACCACAACCCCTGGCAAGGTGGGCAACCTTTTTTTAGGATCATCAATCTCTGCGTCTGGTGTTTGCTTCTATCACCTCAAGGCGAGCTTAACTTTTCGTATCGGTTAGTACCTGTAGGTTCCTAAGAATGAGCGAGGGGAGATTGAGCGGTTGGAGAGGCTCGTTAACAAGTACGAGAGAGGGCAGATACAACATGTGGATTGGCTGGACCGTCTGGCCTTCAGTGCGATCGACAAAGTTAAGGAGAAGGAGTGTGAAAGGCTGGAGAATTCTTTCCCGAGCCTGGTTGTTGAATTCTGTAGTTTTGAACACAGAGTTGTCTTCCAGGTTAACATCGATGCTCCGTTCAGTTTCTATGTGTCTTCTCTTCATTCTGCATGTTTCCATTTTTTCGTATGTGTGTTCTTTTCATTTTCTGGTAACTGTTCATAGATAAAGGAGAAAAAAATCTTTTTGAAATGTTGAGTAATCTGATATTTATTTAAATGCAAGAAATTTCATATAGTGATGTTCACAATAAATTCTACTCTGATTTTTTCCTGCTCAGGAATCTGGAGCGAATTTCTATGCACCAACCCCTGTATCATTATCAAACGAGCTTGTTACTGTGTGGGATCCTGAACTTGGACGAACCAACCCATCTGAGCACAAGCAGTTAAAGCTTGCCAGGAGCTTGACTCGTGGAATAATTGATAAAGATCTGAAACCGAGCTCAAATGAGCGAAAGTGAGTGCAAGCTGCAGTATGTTTTCTTTCATTTGTTGTTTCCCTGTCACCTTATGATCTTCATGTGGTACCACCATCATGCTGTAGTAGCACTCAGAGAATAGAAAGTCCCATGATGAATGCTGCTAATTTCAGTGGTTGCTAATATCTTGATTTTCTCAAATGAATTAATGAGGCAAACACATTTTTATGTTACCTGCATGAATCAGAAGTGGCAAGAAGCACAATTCAGGTGCTTAGCTTAACAGGAATATACAATTGTTGGTTTCTAGCTAAATAACTTTGTGCTTTGTGGGCAGGTCACTTCAAAGAATCATCAAATGTCCTCCTACACGGACTATACTGCCAGATGAGAAGCAATTGGTGTGGAAATTCCGTTTCTCTTTGATGTCTGAGAAGAAAGCTCTTACAAAGTTTCTCCGCTCAGTGGATTGGAGCGATATCCAAGTTAGTAAAAATATCAATATCTCGATTGATTGTTATACTTCATATGTGCATCAGAGGAAACCAGGGGATGTTTCTTTGCTTGCATGTGCTCTAAAGGACCTGGCAGACTGTTAAATTTTTTGGAGATACCAAATCCACATACCTCGATCTAATTTATAAATTATCTGGCAGCTTCTTATGTTTAGTATGTTATAATGGGCAGGAAGCTAAACAAGCTGTTGAATTGATGGGAAAGTGGGAAACAATTGATGTGGCTGATGCATTAGAGCTTCTCTCATCAGATTTTAAAAGCGAGGAAGTAAGCTATCTAGGCACCTCTGTCTGTGCTTCTGTTTTTAATAAATGTATGTGGGGTTGTTTTTGTATTGCTCTTTCATTGATAGAGGCTTTTGTTTGTTGCCCTTTCTTCTGTTAACTGAATTAGTCACCAATAATTATGCAATTCCCATTCTAGAATTTTTTGTGAAAAAACGTTGGTATGACATCTAGAAGACATGTGTTCCTTTTGTCGGGTCTGTTTATTCAGTTTTGCCATCACTTACACATACTACTCTCATAATATCGCTTGCTCTGGTGCAGTAGAGACACTGTCTGCTCTTTTTGTCTTGTATATTAGATTTTTGTAGCCGTCCTATTCTGTGTTTGGGATTGACATGTTATATGAAAAATATTACTGGTGCTCTGGCTTCTTTAACCTAGAGTGCAAATTTGAGTTTTATTTTTCTATTTAGCCTGTGAGCTTTCATTTCTTAACCTTCTTTAAAAGAACTTTCTCCTGCATCGCTACTAGCACATTTTTCTTTCCGACCAAAAAGGTTTTCTTAAGGTTATAGATGATTCTCCCACCTCTTCGTAACTAAACAATGATCGAGTAACTAGTCCATGTGACTCTGGGTGACAGATTTTATCATCTCATGCCCTCCTAAATATTATATCCTAAGTTGTATTTTTTGTGCAAAGGTCCGTGCTTATGCTGTGAGCGTACTTGAAAGGGCTGATGATGAAGAATTGCAATGCTACTTACTCCAGTTAGTGCAAGCTCTTCGATTTGAACGATCGGACAAGTCACGCCTGGCACACTTTCTTGTAAACCGCGGTACGATCTATCCTTCTAATTAAATTCTACAATGAATGTGATCATGACTCCATTTGTCACATCTGGTTACTGTGATCAGCATTTCTTTGTTATGTGACTACTGAGAAAACTCAAGCATGTGTTATGATCTTTTGTTCATTTCAGCTTTATCAAACATTGAAATTGCTAGTTTCCTTCGCTGGTATGTGGTTGTTGAGCTCCATGATCATGCATATGCAAAACGATACTACAGTACGTATGACATGCTTGAAGATGAAATGATGAAAGTATGTTCCCTTCCTTTTTGGACACATCATGTTAGCTCTATCCTTCCTGTTCCTGATACGTAATTTTCATTATGTACCATTGTTTCTGTTAACAGATGATTGCTAGGGAGGATGGCGATGAAGATGGGTTTCGACTGTGGCAGAGTTTATCACGCCAAACGGAACTCACTGCTCAATTATGTTCTATTATGAAGGATGTAAGAAATACTCGTGGTAATGCAGAAAAGAAAATCGAGAAACTGAGACAGTTGTTATCAGGAGTTCACAGTGAGCTTACCCACTTTGATGAGGTAAAACTTGTTACAAATGCTCACATTTACTGTTCTTCAATGCTAGAAAAACAAGGATTGTGTAGATTGACTTGTCTTAGTTGCTTGGATTGACTAATTCTGATAAATCCTTTCCAGCCAATTCGTTCACCATTAGCACCTACACTTCTCCTTACTGGTGTTGTGCCTCAAGAGTCGTCTATATTCAAGAGTTCCTTAATTCCATTGCGCCTTACATTTAAGACGGCAAATGGGGGAACGTCCAAGATGATTTTCAAAAAGGGAGATGACCTCCGCCAGGATCAATTGGTAATTATTCAAGTCTGATTCTCATTCAGTGGAAATCATTTTTGGCTTTTGTTATAGTCTGTATGTCGGCATGTATCACCATCTTTACATACTGGATCTTACATTCTGAACTAGTGGTTACATTGTGATATATTCCTGTGAAGCGGGCCAGTCATATCTTCAATCCTTGCTAACTTGCCACTTCAGCTATAAACAAAATTGAACATTACACATTGTATGTGATTGCATGCTGTAGACTTGAGTCTTCTTTCAAAGGCACATAACTGTGTCCAATCATTGTTTTAAATCAGTGACACTTTCTGCTTAAGCATCGATCTTAGTTCGCTCTTCTGTGTTACTCAGTCATGTTGAGAATACGGTGGTTATAGTTCCTACAAGAGTACTAACCACGAGCTGCATATCACATTTCTGTTTTTTTGGTGCATGTATATGTAAATTTCAATGCATAGATAGCCTATGTTTAGCATAGACAGCATACCATTGTATAAATAGATACATCCTTTTTACAATAGTGGAGCTGCATATGAGGCAACATGCAGCATATAGATGCTTAAAGATATGGTGACCGTTCATGTGCTATTATTTAAACATTGGTCTCAGTGTACATCTCAGTACCTACCTACTTGTATGGAAGGTAGGGATATCATGACTAATTCGTGATTCACTTTGTAGGTCATTCAAATGGTCTCTTTAATGGACCGATTGCTCAAACTAGAAAACATGGACTTGCACCTTACTCCATATCAAGTTCTTGCAACTGGACAGGATGAAGGGATGGTTGAATTCATTCCTTCCAGCCCGCTTGCACAGGTAATTTGAGTATTTGAAGATCATGGAAGGCAGTAGCTGTCAGGTTTTCAGAAGACTGGTTATGTTTTACACAGTAACAAAATTTTCTACATATTGTAGATTCATTCTGAAATAGTTTGTTGATTTAAATTGTTGTTTGTTCGCAGATTATATCAGAACATCGCAGTATTACAAGTTACCTGCAAAAGTTCCATCCTGATGAAGATGGTCCTTTTGGTATAACTGCCCAATGCTTGGAAACTTTTATAAAAAGTTGTGCTGGTTACTCTGTCATTACATACATTATGGGTGTTGGAGACAGGTTGGTGCCTTCTCTTTTTTAAGTATCTGTATAAGAATAAGATAGCTAATCCTTTATGCTTAGAAATGAATATACAGAAGCATTTATTTCAGTTTTCTGTACATTCAGCAATCTTCAACTGTGGTGCTGCATGTCCAACTCCATTCATTTTCATTTAGAGGAAACTGAATTTATTCGAGTGCCCCACTTAATTTTTTTTCTTGATTACTGTTCAGTGATGAAAATGGTTGTTTTTCATGTACCATTTTTTAAGGATTATATAGCTCAACTAGGTGTTTACTAATTGTGACCGATATTCTGATTTATAGCGCCAACAAGATGAAAATGCTCCTCATTCTTGTAAATCTGTCTATTGTCAGGGTATTTCTATAGAAATTTTTATCAATAGCAAGGGTCTGGTTGGCTGACAATGGCATCCAGTTCTTTTTTCCAATCCTTTTGTCAACATGAGCTATATGCAGTTTGCGAGGAATAACAAATGGCTGATTTCCCCTCCCTCTCTGTTTCTCTCTAGGCATCTAGATAATCTTCTTATAAGAGATGACGGGTGCCTTTTCCATGTGGACTTCGGTTTTATTCTGGGTCGAGATCCAAAGCCATTTCCACCTCCAATGAAACTATGTAAAGAAATGGTCGAGGCCATGGGTGGCACAGAAAGGTAATTTGTTGATCCGTTCTGTCAATACTTGAATTATTATTCATTTGCTACAGCTCTTTGAATCGCTGCAACTTGCCTTTTGGATCTCAGCCAATACTATACAAGATTCAAGTCCTACTGCTGCGAAGCATACAACATCTTAAGGAATAACAGCAGCCTTATACTGAATCTCTTCACGTTGATGGAAAGATCAAGTATTCCAGATATCTCTACCGAGGAAAATGCGACCCTTAAGGTAATTAAATTGGTTTTATGAGTGGATTTTTTTTCTTCACAAAGAGCAGAGCGGCCTATAATCACATGTCGTTTCCCCTTTTATGGTGTGCATTGATCAGGTTCAGGAGAAATTCCGGCTGGATCTGGACGATGAGGAGGCTATACATTTCTTCCAGGGCCTTATCAACGATAGTGTCAGCGCATTGTTCCCTCAAATGGTTGAGACCATCCATAGATGGGCTCAATATTGGCGATGACCACTTCTCGTTTGTATTGGGTGAGTTTGGTGACGATGCCTGGCTTTGACATGATATTATCGCATAATAACATGCTCTTGCAATGGCCACTGATGACCTCCACTCTTTTATTTAATCTTCACCAGCTGCAGCGGACTATTAACAAATAACAACAGATGTCAAGCAGAGACTGAATGGTAAGAGGAGACGAATGCGATAGATTTACAGCATAACGTGGAAATAATGGACAAATGAGCACACGTACTTTATTTCCCCGTTGGACACTTCTAACTTACGAAATGCAAATTTGTGAATATGTCTTCTTTATGTAAATCGTCCTGTGTGTGATGTAATTAACAGGACAGTGGAGTGCAAATTTGTGAACATGCTAGCATTTAACTTGGTATATGTGTGATGTAATCAGCATATGTAATATGTGGTGGCAATGTGTTGATATAAACCTAGGAAAAAAATGTAACAAGCGGTGCTTATTCTAGTTTACCAAGCAATTGAGTGCTCATTCGTTGCCATCCGAAAAAATTCCTGAGATATTTGCTCATGCCACGTCATTGTTTCTTCACCGTGAAAAAGAAGTTGACGACTCGGTAGGTTATAGGCAGGTTTGTTGATAACCTGAGTGGCTTGCAGACTACATGCGGTGTTTGGCCTGAATGGTTGCATCCACCATTTGTTATGCCTGAATGGGTCTCACCAGCCAAGATGCAAAGTCCACGTCAAATACGGATTGTTGGATTTGGAAGGATCTTGAAACAGAGAAGAAGAAGAAGAAGAAGAAGAAGAAGAAGAAGAAGCATGATCTGGTGAAAGTGCTTAGCGTTGTTTGACTCAGGAGGATAACAAAAGCTCAGAAGAGCATAAGCAAGAGAGCACATTATCCGGTTCCCCCGTGTACATAGCGCGTTGAAATAAATACAGAATCAGCAACAATTAATATGAATCAAAGGGAGTGGCAATAATCACAACTACCAACACTAGATAACAAATCAGATTAACCACCGATTTGTTTGTCTTATCACAAATAACATGTTTCATTCAGAAGTCACGACAAGCGGCAAATAGCTAATAATCTTTGCATGAAGAACAACACACGGAAAAACACCAGACGGCAAAATAGCTAATAATCTTTGCATGAAGAACAACACACAGAAAAACAAATTTCACACATTTTGCTGCCTTGGTCTGTTGGTAGTTTGGCCTAGGATCTCAAGTTCTACTCGACCCTGGGGCAACACATCCTTGCAGCGAGGTCCTCTCTCGCTTGGAGGTCTCGCTGTTGGCTGTCGGCAATAGGAGACATGATGGTGGCATTCCCGTC